ACAATAGACTACAATTAATTAATAACTGGTTACTACAAATAATAGATAAATAAATCCTTTGGATCTTAAGTTCAATGCCTTAACCACTTGGCCATTCTGGCATATCAGACTCTGGATATTTCCCCCCCAAGGAGCGTCTCACCCTCCCTGGGGAATGATGTGAGGATTGGGTGGAGGGCTGGGGGAGGGACAAGGGAGTAGGGGTGGGAAAGGGAGCTGGGATTGACATATGAAGCATTCATACATGTTTCTAAGACAATTTATTTTAATAAAAATTAAAAAATAAGAATAGATAAATATGTCCACAGACAGGCTAGAAATTGAAGATATAGCCTGAATTATAGACAAAACGCTAGCTAACCATCTGTAAATGAACTTCTGTCTAGAATACATGAAGACTTCAAAATCTAAAAATCCAAAACACAAACAACCATCTGTAAATGAACTCATGATGTGGCAGGTCCAAAATCATGAATCACAAAAGAACAGTAAACATGTGGTTGAGACTTTATATCCTTACCCATCAATAAAAAGCAAATTAAAATTTTACTTCAATTTCATTTCTTCTCAGTCAGAGGTGCTATAGCAAGAAAGCAAACCACAGGAAAAGTTAGATTGTTAGTTAGTTCACATTCAGTTGGTGAAAATGCAAACTGGCCCAGGCTCTATGAGATTCAGTGTGGACGAAATTCAGTGAACTCAAAGTAACCTTACCCTAGGTAGAAGCCCAAGAATCTCTAAATAAACATATTGCCAAGATACTTGCTGATTTAGTTTATATTGCTGTTTTAGACACCATGACCAAAAGCAACCTGGAGAGGAAAGGCTGTATTTTGCTTACAACCGTCATGTAATACTTCATTGCTGAGGGACATCAAGGAAGGAACTCAGGACAGAACCTGGATGTAGGAACTAAAGTAGAGGCCATGCAAGGATGTTGCTTACTGGACTGCTCACTCTAGCTTTCTCAGTCTTCTACCTTAGAGCATCTAGGACCACAAGCCAAGAGCTGGAACTTCCCACAATGAGCTGAGCCCTATCTGTTCAGTATCTTCATCAAGAAAACATGCCATAGGCTTGCTTAGAGTCAAATTATAGGAGGCACATTTCTTTTTCTCAGTGAAGGTTCTTTCCTTCCAAATGATTCTAGTGTGTTTTCAAACTGGTGTAAAACTAGCCAGCACATTTTTACATGTGCCATTATTGGAATATGGTCTTCACAATCCATGTTATGGGTTCATCTTTAGTGTCCATCAATAGATAGATGCATAAAAGTATGGTACATTGGAATGCATAATGGAATTTTATTTGGCCATAAGGAAGAATATGATGCCATTTTCTGGATATGGTGATGGATACAGCTGGATATAGTCATATTAAACAAGTTCAGAACATAAAAGTAAACTTTACATTTTCCCACCTGTGTCTTCTAGATCAAACATAGATACGATAAAAGACATGTATATGTGAAAGAAGTGAAATGAGAAAGAAGGAACCTAGAGGTAAAGTGTCAAGAGTAATACTGAGGGATAGGGGAAGGGTAGGGAAGCTAGGATCGCAGTACACATAATATGTGAATCCATTACCTTAGCCCATCATTATAGCACAACGAATATACACCAACAATTTTTATGATAAAAATGACTAGAAAATCCAAAACTTAGATACTGTGTATCTTATCACTGGCAAATTCATCTCTTCACTTTCCCTACTGTTTGTATTAATCACTGTCCTAAATTCAATGTCAGTCGATTATTTGCTTTAATTTATGTTTTAATATATATAAAAATATGGGAGTGGGACCTGGGAAGAAGAGAGGGGGTGAAGAGGAAGAGAGTAGGTCATGGGGGAACAGGAAGTTGAGGGGGTGGGGGTAGAATAGGGGGAAGAGGGAATCATAGGATCGAATACAGATCAGCCACCAGAGCGACCTTTAGTGATCTAAAGGGATAACACCAATTGGCAAGCTAAGCAATAGTGGAGAGACCACCTCGAATGCCCATTCCTGATAATGAACTTGATGTCTATAACCATCCGGGAGCCTTCATCCTGTGACTGATGGAAGCAGAGGCAAACACACAATTAATCACTGAACTGAACCCAAGGAACCCAGTGACAGAGAGAGAGGAGTGATGAGCAAATTGGCAAAGAATGGGCTGGCAAAACCAGCAGAGACAGCTGTTCTGAACAGGGGAGAGCTCTTGGACCCCAGACCGACAGTGGGGAGGCTAACATGGGACTGATCTGGACCCCCCAAATGTGAGTGTCAGCGAGAAGGCCTGGGCAACCTATGGGTCCCTGAGCTGTGGATCAGTGTCTATTCCTGGTATACAAACAGTCTTCGGGTGCCTATAGCACAAAGAGGGATGCTTTCTCAGCCTGGACTCTTAGGGGAGTGCCTGGACCCTACCCAAAGTAAAATGACAGACTCTAGATATCCCCTATGTGGAAGGAATTGGCAATAGGGTGGGAGGTTGGGGGGGGAAGGGGAGTGCGGGAGGAGGGGAGGGAGAGGGAACTGGGATTGACATGTAAAACAAGCTATTTAAAATTAAAATAAAAAATGATATAAAAATATATGTGTGTGTTTATGTATGTGTATACTCCTGAATACTACTGAATTTTCTCAATAATAAAAGTATGACTTAGTCTTATTTTAACATTTCAAGTATTCTTAGGTACATTTCATTTCCCTAGGTTAATATTGTAGCTTTATTTTAATTTCCATTAATGCAAGCAGTTCCATATATTCATATTTACTAAAATAATCTGTTACTTTTGTAAGCATGGTATTATTGGTTCTCCATTTGCCATTTTCTTATTCACCTATGGCTAATATGAGCAAAATGACTATAAATATTCATATCTTTTTCTCCTACCAAACAGGAATTTCTATAGTGAGAATGTCTTGATCATAAGTATCCGCATCTTCCACTTTATTAGGAAATACCAACTGTGAAGCAGTTATTTCCTGATTTTTTGTTTCACTTTTTGATTTTCCAAAACTAGATCACCAGTCTTTATAACTGATGTTCTTCATCTTGAATGACACAAATAAACCATCAAAGCAGAACTTACTTAGCACTCTTTATCACTTACACTATCCCCAAATCAAAGTTCTGTAAAATAGAAGTATTACATAATTAGACATGGCAGTATAAATGCCATGGCACCAATTTGATCATTTTGACATTCGCATAGAATCTCACTGCTCAATTTAATCAACCCTGGCAAGTGATTCTGATAATACACACATAAATAAATTAAGCCCCAAAATATGCTGAAATGTTTTTTATGTCATTTTAGCTGGGCGTTGGTGGCACACACCTTTAATCCCAGCACTCGGGATGCAGAGGCAAGCAGATCTCTGTGAGTTAGAAGCCAGCCTGGTCTACAGAGCAAGTTCCAGGACAGCCTCCAAAACAATACAGAGAAACCCTGTCTTGAAAACAACAAAAAACAAAAACAAAAAAAAAACAAAAGAAAAATGTCATTTCTGCAAAGAAGTGTGTAGAGGCTTCTTTAGTTTGTATAAATCCAAGGTGTCTGGTTGGATCCCCAGTGGGCTCGCGCCCCCCCCACACACACACATGCTTGCATGCATGTATGCACGCACACACAGAAAGTTACAGCAGGTTGGTGACTAAGATGTGCTCATCTGTACCCTTCTTGTGGCCTGGCACCCATGAATCAATGAGAGGATGTAGGATTCCACAAGCAGACAACTTGCAGCCAGGCAGAGCCAGATTCCTGGTCATTTTTCTTTTTTGAATTTGTGGTGCTCTTTGATTTTTGTACTTTTAGCTTTTAATTATCCATGCATACTGTGTGTATACATGGTGTGTATATATGGTGTGCACACATGACAGCTTGTGTGGAAGTCAGAGGACAACTTTATGGGGTCAGTTCTCTCCTCCCATTTCCATGTGATCCAGTGATTGAACTCATGTCATTATGACTTCGTGGCAAGTGTCTTTACCCACTGAACCATATTGCTGGCTCTAGCTTTAATTACACCTCTCTCCTATGTTTTCATAGGCATCTGCTTTCTATAAAAAAAGACCAGTAGTCTTTTCTTTTGTATATATATGTCACGCCATACTTTTGTTTATTGCTTTTCACACTGAAGGACGAGCTCTGCTAGCAAAAAAAAAAAAAATTCACTTAGAAATCTATCAGTTCCTGGGTTTCCTGGGGAAAATAGCATTCACATATTCATTAAGAAATCTACAAAATTGTCTTCTTGACTTTTTTTTAAATTACATGCATAAAATGTGCTTTTCTGAATATTATTTGTTTCAAAATATCGACTATTAACATCATACTTGCTTTAGCACTGAAGAGTCTCAATTAGAGTCTTAAGTGAAAACATAGAGGATGATTTTATAGAAAATGTACATACGCATATATGAAAATGTTAGCTAACCTCAAGTTGCATATTTTTATCAGTGTAACTATATATTATTTTTCTATTCTATACTACTGAATGTTTTGGTTTCAACTTTGTTCACTTTCATAGTCTTAGACTATGCTTTCTTTTATTTGGCCATTATTAGACACTTTTTGAAGTATGACTATACACCCAAATATAGTTTCACTACAACAGTGTTTGCTACTTTGCTTCTTCGTTTCTGTGATAAAACATTGACCAAAAAGTGACTTGGGCAGGAAAGGTTCGAAGCTGGAAGCAGGAACTGAAGCAGAGATTGTTGACAAACACCGTTTACTGGATTGATTCGCATGTTTTGCTCAACTTGCTTTCTTTCACAGCCTGAGCCCTCATGCCCAGGGATGGCGTTGCACACAATGGGCACATGCATCATAATCAAGAAAATGTTGGGGGGAAGGGGAGTGCGGGAAGAGGGGAGGGAGAGGGAACTGGGATTGACATGTAAAACAAGCTATTTAAAATTAAAATAAAAAATGATAAAAAAAAGAAAATGTCCCATCGACATGCCCACAGGTCAGTCTGATAGAAGCTATTACTCAACTGATATTACCTTATCCCTCATGACTGCAGTTTTTATCCAGTTGTCAGAAACGTCCACAAAATGTATCAGATAGATGCGTGTGGTTAATAAATGAAGTTTTCCTGGAACACAGCCATGACACCCATTATTAACACATTTCCTATGGCTGAGTTTGTATTCTAAGATAAAGATGAGAACAAAGACACAGGCCATGCAACCCAGACATCTGAAACATTTATAGAAGCTGCTGAGGACTGAATTGCTACATCAGTAACTTTCATATACTTTCCCATAATCCTTTGAGAAAAAGAAAAAAACCCAAAATGCAGCTATTCCAAAATCTTTTTCATTTTTGTTGTAATTTTTAAAGTCTCTTTTCTCTAATTCATTATCGATTTCCTTCCTAAAAGTGAATGGGTGGTTTTCATTGAGGTAGTGCTTATCTGATTGGTAATTATTTTCATGATTATATAAAATTAGGTAGCAATATGAAGGTATTCATCAGGTATTACCATATTTTCCTTTCTGGTTATATGGAAGGAATATACATTTTTATTAATTTTCAATAAAGATATAGAAATGAAGTTTGCCTTCCCCAAGACATCAGAAGCAGAAGTGGCACATTTTTTTCTGGACAGTTCTAGCACCAATGCAAAGTACGCAACTATACCCTTAACTACATTCTGCACTTTGGTCATAAAAACTCTTTTTATCACAAACCCTGTAGGAAATAAACTTTGTTGCTTTAAGTCACTGAGATTTGGCAACAAACTAGTAATACTGGGAGAAAACAACAAATTTATCTTAATTGGCACATAAATTGTTACAAACTTTAGAGACTCTGTCTTTACAAGGAATTGTAGGTGGTGAAAATGGTTTTAAGAATGGGATTGTGGTAGTTTGTAATACTCAGTTACAAAATGTCTTATAAAATCTAAAGTAACCTCCAGTTCTTTTTTGATTTTGTACTACCTAAATCTAAATACATCTAAAATAACTGGAGAGGCAAATGAATAAGCAGAATTTAGCTTTAAGTAAGAATAAAACAGCAGGTAACGAACTAGAACTTAAATGTTAAAACCCTACTGTTGAAATGTTTAACGCTTTGGTAGTAAGACAGAGAGGAATCAGGTTAGAGATAAACTGAAAGCTTCTAACCTGCTACCTAGCTTTCATCGTGCCCAAGGGTGCTAGGAAGGATGCTAAGGAGTCATGAATGGGATCATCCTGCTGACTACAAGAGGCAAAACACATCTCATCCGCCATATTATACCCACTAGCGCAACAGTGGTGTGACCGGAAGTGATGTAACCAACTGCTTTCTGATTAGATTTGAGGCTTGCTCTACAGGAATTCAGATATGAAAGTAGGAGAGACTTGATGAGAAGTGTTCAGTACTAGTGGAAGGAGCTGAAAGAATAGAATCTAAAACATTATGTAGCTGTATGAGATAGTAAAAATTAAAAAACAATAACAAAATATAAGACACCAGTAAATTCATTCTTTAAATTAATTCTCCTATCTCGCCAAGGCCCTCACCACCTCCCCATACCACCCCCTATCCACTCCTCAGGTAGGGTGAGGCCTCCCATGGGGTATGATCATGTCTGTCACATCATTTGGGGCAGAACCTAGGCCCTCCCTGCTGTATATAGACTGATAGAGTATCCCTCCATAGGGAATTGGCTCCCAAAGCTCATTTGTGCACTAGGAATAAATACTGGTTCCAGGGAGCCCATTTGTGCACTAGGAATAAATACTGGTTCCAGTGCCAGTGCCCCATAGACTGCCGAAGCCCCACAACTGACACCCAAATTCTGAGGACCTGATTCTCTCTTATGCAGGTTCCCTAGCTTAAGTCTTAAATCCATGAACACCCATTTTCTCAGGTAGGTTGTTTCTATTGGTTTCTCCAGACTGGTCTTGACCTCTTTGATCATCACTCCTCCCTCTCTGCAACTGGATCCAGGAGTTCAACTCAGTGCTTAGCTGTGAAACTCTGCTTCTGCTTCATCACTTACTGGATGAAGGTTTTATGATGGCATTTCAGGTAGTCATCAATCACATTATAGGGTAAGGACATTTAAGGCAGCATCTCCACTATTGCTTAGCTTCTAGGTAGGGGTTATCCTTGTACTTTTCTTGGACATTTCCTAGTGCCAGGTTTCTTGTTAAGCCCATAACAGCTCCCTATAATAAGGTATAACTTTCCATGTTCTCCTTTCTCTGTTCTTCCCACAACTCATGATTTCCTCCTCGCCCCTCCTCTTCTCCCCTCCTCTTTCTCCTACCCCCTCCCATGCTGCCTATTTACTCAGGAGATCTTGTCCCTTTCCTCTTTTCAGGGTTCCATGTGTGTCTTTTTTTTTCTGGGGGACATGTCACTACCACACTTTAGGAAGCACCATCAGGTTTCATTGTGCAGTATTTTATCAGGAGTGGAGTATCAAACAGGATTTCTCTGAAGTTCTAGGCACCTAGTATAGTCCTTCAAGTCTTTGATCTTTTTATTTTTTATTTAAATTAGAAACAAGCTTGCTTTACATGTCAATCCCAGGTCCCTCTTCCTCCCCTCCTCCCCTGCATCACCACCAGGAACCCCAGCCCCCAACCTAATATCCACTCCATTCCCTCAGGGAGGATAGGGCCCTCCATGGGGATCTCCAGAGTCTGTCATTTCCTTCAGGGCAGGACCTAGCACCTCCCCCAAGAGTCCAGGCAGAGAAAGGATCCCTCATTGTGGGATGGGCACCCAAAGTCCATTTGTATGCCAGGGATAAATACTAATCTACTACCTAAGGCACCCAAAATTGCCTAGGCCTCCTAAGTGACACATATATTCAGGGGGTCTGGATCAGTCCCATGCTGACATCCCAGCCATCATTCTGGGGTCCAAGAACTGCCACTTGTTCAGGTCAGCAGTTTCTGTGGGTTAAACCATCACAGTCTTGACCCCTTTCCTCATTAGTCCTCCCTCTCTGACACTGGATTCCAGGAGATCAGTTCAGTGTTTAGCTGTGGCTGTCTGCCTCTGCTTCCATCAGTCACTGGATGAAAGTTCTGTTTCCCACACATATTTGCAGTAGTATTGTAGGCTAGCATTCCATTGATCTATGTCTAAAATCCATATATGAGTGAGTACATACCATATTTCTGTTTTTGTGACTGGGTTACATTATTCAGGATGGTTTCTTCTAGTGCCATTCATTTGCCTGCAAATTTCAAGATTCCAGTGGGTTTTTTTTTCCGCTGAATAGTACTCAATTGTGTAAGAGCACCACATTTTCTGTATCCACTCTTCAATTGAGGGGCATTTAGGTTGCTTTCAGGTTCTGGCTATTACAAAAAAATGCTGCTATTAATACAGTGTAACAGATATTCTTGGTGTATGAATATTGAATATGCATCTTTAGGGGATATGCTTAAGAGTGGAATTGTTGGATCTTGTGGTAGACTGATTCCCATTTTCCTGAGGAATCTCCATACTGATTTCTAAAGAGGCTACATGAGTTGGTACTCCCACAACCAGTGGAAGAGTGTTTCCCTTTCTCTACATCCTCTCCAGCATAAACTGGCATTAGTGTTTTTGATTTTAGCCATTCTGAAAGGGGTAAGATGGTATCTCAGAGTTGTTTCGATTTGCATTTCCCTAATGGCTATGGATGTTGAGCTTGTTAAGTGTCTCTCAGTCATTTTAGAGTTCTCTATTGAGAATTCTTTATTAACTTCTGTACCCCATTTTTAGTGGGATTCTTTGGTGTTTTGGAGACTTGCTTCTTGAGTTCTTTGTAAATTTGGGCATCAGTCCTCTGTCAAATGTGGGTTTGGTGAATATCTTTTCCCATTCTGTGGGCTGCCTTTTTGTCTTGTTGATTGTGTCCTTTGCCTTACAGAATCTTCTCAGTTTCAAGAGGTCCCATTTATTAATTGTCGATCTCAGTGTCTGTGCTACTGGAATTATGTTCAGGAAGCAGTCTCCTGTACAAATTCGTTCACAGGTACCTCTCCCTTCCTCTTCGAAGAGACTCAGTGTGGCTGGATTTATGTTGAGGTCTTTGATCCATTTGGACTTAAGTTTTGTGCATGGAGATAGACATGGATCTATCTGCAGTCTCCTACATGCCAGCCTCCAGTTATGCCAGCATCACTTACTGAAGATGCTGTCTTTTTTCATTGTATAATTTTAACTTATTTGTCAAAGATCATACGTGTATGGGTTAATATTGGGGTATTCAATTCAATACCATTGGTCTACCTGTCTATTTATGTGCCAACAACAAGATGTTCAAAGGACTATAGCTTTATAATAGAGCTTGCAGTCAGGGATGTTGATACCTCTGGACATTGCTTTGTTGGACAAACTATCCTGGATCTTTTGCTTTTCCATATAAAGTTGAGAATTGTTATTTCAAGGTCTGTGGAGAATTGTGCAGTGATTTAATGGGGATTGCACTGAATCTGCAGATTGTTTTTGTCAAGATTGCCATTTTTACTATGTTGATCTTACCTTTCCAAGAGCATGGGAGATCACTCCATTATCTGGTGTCTTCTTTAATTTTTTCTTTAAAGACTCAAAGTTCTCTCATGGAAGCCTTTACTCTCCCTAGGAAGTGGAGGGGGGATGGAGTGGGGTAGGGGGCTGGGAGGATTGGGGGCCAGGAAGGAGGAAGGGAGAAAGAACTGAGAGCAACATGTGTAAAAAGTTTAAAAACAAAGGAAAAGAAAAGACTCAAAGTTCTTGTGATGCAGTGATAGCTATCCAGAAAATTGTCCATTTCCTTTAAATTTTCAAATTTTGTGGTGTACAGGTTTTCAGAGTATGACCTGATGATTCTCTGGATTTCCTCAGTGTCCGTTATTAAATCCCCCTTTTCATTTCTGATTTTGTTAATTTGCATGTTCATAGTCTGTGGTTTGGTAAGTTTGGATAAAGGTTTGTCTACCTTGTTGATTTTCTCAAAGAACCAACTCATTGATTGTTTGTATTGTTTTAATAGTTTCTACTTTATAGATTTTAGCCCTCAATTTGGTTATTTACTGCCATCTACTCCTCCAGGGTGAGTTTGCTTTTTTATGATCTAAAGCTTTCAGTTGTACTGTTAATTCTCTAGTGTGACTATTCTCCAGTTTCTTCATGTGGGCACTCAGTGCTATGAACTTTCCTTTTAGCACTGCTTTTAAAGTGTCCCATAAGTTTAGGTATGTTGTGTCTTCATTCTTTTTGAATTCGAGGAAGCCTTTCATTTCTTTTTATTTATTACTTCTTTGACCCATAAAAAGCGCAATTGTGCATTACTCAATTTCCATGATTTGTCGTGTTTCTGCAATTTATGTTGCCGTTGAATTCTAACTTTAAAGCATGGTTGTCTGATTAAATACATGGAGTTACTCCATTTTTTTTGTACCTGTTGAGGTTTGATATGTTTCCAAGTATGTGGTCGATTTTTGAGAAGGTTCAATGTGGCACTGAGAAGAAGGTATATACTTTTATGTTTGGATGTTTTATGTTTTATGTTCTGCAGATGTCTGCTAAACCCAATTGGGTCATAACTTCTGTTAGTTCCTTTGCTCCTTTGTTAAGTTTCTGTCTGGTGGTACTCTCTAGTGGTTAGAGAACATCAAAGAGGAAGAATCAGAAAGAATGAGCCCAGTCACAAGGCAAAATTAGACAAAAGTTAGGAATATTACAACCAATGTTGTTTAAAGAAGCCCTACTAGATGAATTTAAATATTTCTTGGTAAATGTTTTATATTTAACTCACTTTTTCAGAGATGAGAGATATTGTACAGATTTGTCATGTAAGCATTAGTAGGTGAGAATGTCATTGCTAGTAGATTTGGGAGAAGCACACATTTCATGATACTCCATTTCCCATAGCTCAGTACCTGAAAGAAGTATGAAGACATATTCATAAGTCAATGTAGAGTCTTGTACTAAGCTACAAAGCTCCTATGGGATAAATGATAAAGATTGTCACTTTAAGCAACTGAGAGTAGGATTTTCTTGAATCCTTAAGTATTATTATCTATTCTGGCTCCATGTATTACCATTACTAACCTTAAAATTTTTATGCAAATTATGTTGTTAACTCTATTGTCTTCAGCAGCATACAAAGGAGAGGAAAGAACGTCCATTAATATCATTACTTTGTTATGTAGTTTTAAAAAGCATTTCAAACAGGTACTTACCAATTCCAGTTATATTTCAACATCAATGTCTACATGCATATTTCCCGCTTTTTGAAATTTTATTTAGTAAATAACAAAAATTT